TTTTTTTTTTTTTCCAATTTGGAGGTTGGTTTCGTTGATGCCGTAATCTTCCACGTTTGAGTGTATTTCTTACCTTAATTTTCACCTAAGTACCACCTAATCCAAGTTTATCATGTTCTTTCAAAATTGTCCCAAAATATAGGGTATTTGTGTAAGTACCCCTTTAAAGAATGTAATTAAAGAAATGGGGGTCTAATATGGACTAAGCCCTCTTTGACATCTTTTACTTTAATTTGATTTATTTTTCATAATCATTTTTAACAACACATTCAAATAATAAAATATTTTATATGTAAATTCAAAAAAAATTCCTACTTTTTAACCACTTATTCTCCAAAAAATACTATTCAAAAGAAAGTTTTTTAAATTCGTTTCCGAGGAAAAAGTGTTAAATTTAAAAGTTGAAATTACCACTTGGTCCTTTGGTGGGCTTGTACTTGGGCCTAGAAACCTGCAGACATTTCTGAGTCTCTGACGCTGGACGGCCCACGAACAATATTCTCTGAAGAAAACAGAAAACCGGTGAAATGAGACCGTTACATTACAAATCCTATTTCTAACAAAATTACAATTCACTCCCTCACCTGTAAACCATTTCGCCCTCTCCCCTCACTGCCATCGATTCCCTTCTTCCTACTGCAGGTAAGAACTTGTATTTTGGTGATTTCGTTTTCATATTTTTCTTTTCGCGTTCCACATTTTCTCTACTTGTACTATAAAACCCTAGTTCTTGACAAAAAAATGATATTATTTAATTATATCTAATTTAATTTTTCATTTTTTTCCTTATTTAATTATAGTTCGTAGTGAAATGTCTTTGAGAAAAGTTTTTTCTTTGTTTTACCCTACTTTCTTGATGTTTATAGTTAATTTTGACGTATTAGAAAATTTGAATACTGTACTAAATTTCAAATTTGGAAAGCTTCGTGTGTATTTGTAAATGTCAGTATTGTTGCGAACGTTGTTTTCCACTCTATTCGGGGTTGAAATTATCTGTGAGAAATTAACAATTGGAATCTGCATGATTATTTATTTCCCCAGTTTATATTTTTGGGCAGTGCTAGATTATGCATGAATTGAGATCAATTTTGTTATGTATTATTAGTTTCTAGGGTTTATCATGTTACAATTACTCCGCATCACAGAACAAGACAAATGAAGCGATACAGAAACACACGGATATGAACTAAATGGGACTAATGGGAGGCAAGTATATAAATGCAGGCCATCTGAAGTTCAAACCCAATCTTAGTTTGTACTTTATCATATTTCTCTTGAGCACATAATTCTTATTAATTATATTAACTGTTTACTTAAAAAAATATAATGAATTATTGTCGTGCACAGTGTTTCCCATGTGACTAGTAATTATGATTGGTAAAATTATGTAGTAATAGGAATAAGAAGCGGAGTTCAATTTTCAAAAGTTTAATATAAATTTTTTCAATAAGTCCTATTTGTCTGTTGTAATAAATTTGTCTAGTGCAATTTTAATATGATATGTTTTTTTGGCTCGCTTGTCTCTTTATTTTACCCTTGGCCATTGACTGTTTTTGTTGCTTCTTTAGACTATAATCGCTCAGTATTTCTAAGCAGCCAACTTATTGAGGCCATGCCCATTATGAAGAAGGTTTGTTTCAAAACCTGACGCATACGATTGTTTTGTTCAGTATATCTTTGTTACGAACTTCATCTAGTCATTATGTGTATGATTATCTTCTTTTGCCTCTCTCTCTCTCGCTCTCTGTTCTTTAGTTGTCTTACCACTCGTGAGTGAGGATGAAGATGTATAGAACTGTCAATGAAGTTACTTCTAATCATATTATTTTAGCTTTTTCTGAAATAGGTTACTTGTAGAAGAAGTATACGTTATTTATGCATCTGAATACAAATGTTTTTATATCGTTCTCATCTGATTGTAGAATGCATTGTTGTCACCAGAGAAGATGCAAGACCTAAAGATAGTCCCTCATTAGAGAATAAAATTGTCCACATTATGCTCAAAGTTCAGAGTTTTATAACATTAGGAACAATGGTGTTTGCTATGGAAAGTCATTCTTTTGCATCAGTTTTATTGGAATTACTCTCTGTCCCTGCCCTGTTACCAGTGACATACAGAGAATAATGGATTTTATCTAAATATAGACCAGCAATGCATGTATTAATACATTATGCTCGAAATACAGGAGATAGGTACAAAGCTTGCATGTTTTTGAGTGTTTTGTTTGACAAAGACATTGATTTTGATGATGAAAGATGCTTGTTTAGGCAATTAAACTTCTGACGACAATGTAAATTTTGCCCTTTTAATGGTACTTTATGTGGTTTTTATTCTTATAGATACATGGATGCCTTTGAGGCTTATAAATTTAGTCTAAAGGGATGATCACATGTGAAGGCAATTAAAAGAAGAGCTTCTTGTTTTGATTGTTATGAGTGGGAGAGGAAAGCTGAAAACTCTCCTAGATAAGGTGTTTAATTTTTTCGGAGTAAGTTCAAACTTGAGAAATTCCTACTTTCACTCTAGAGCCTTTTTGAACCCCCCTTTTTTTTTTCTAGAGAATGCATTTTGAAATAATAGATTGATGGAGGATGTGTGGTTGAAAAATAAGGAAAAGTTTTGAGTTTACGTGTAATATTATTTTATTGAAGAATATTTAATTGAAAGAAAAGAGAGAAAAATGTATTTTGGAAATAATGAGGATCAAACAAGAGCTTAGCGTGAATAATGTATGAGTAACTACACTTCAATATGATTTTATTCGGGTAACTACACTATAATTTGATTTTAATTAAGATAGTTTTGTCTGATTCCACTAAACGATAGTTGATGACGTGGCAGTCAATAAATATTGATTGTTACACAACCATTATTTGTGAAATTGAAATAAGTCAATTTCAATTAGATGAATGACAGGCATCATATATTAATTGTTGTGTCATCGATTTTCATCGGTCCAAGTAATGGAATTAGATGGAGTTATCAATTGAAATCAAATTAAAGTGTAGTACAGTTACCTGATTGAATTGCAGTGAAAGTATAGTAAAAAATGAATTTTGCCCATTCAAATAGTCTTATAATCACAACAATCATAATTAGGAAAATTTAAATAAGTATCAATTGTCTTGATATGTATTTAAATTGTTTCATGCAATTCGATCTTGGTATGCTTATTTGTTGTCATAAGCTCTATCTCCTTCGTTTTATCATTGTCGGGAACTTGTAATTACTGTTCATGTTGTTTATGCCCTCTCTCTCTGTTTTCTTTTTATTTAGATTTAGGGACTTTACTTTACAATCAGTTGATGGAATGACGATTTCATGACTTTTTATCTACTTGGATCAGTTTTCAATCTCACCAGACCCTTTCCCCCAATTCTCTCTTATGCCTTGGATGTTGTGGAAATATCGACGTAACTGTTCCAATGTACGCATTTAAAGACTAATGTCTTGGCCTCTATGTTATATTTGTCTTTTATATTTGTTAGCAGCATTCTGGGCATAGTGGTATTTTGCAAGTATTTGATAAATTGGTGGAGGAGATTGGAAGTCCAGTTGACTTTGAACTTCCTGAATGCTTAAATAAATGGAAACCTACACCCTACTCCTCTATCAGACGCAGTATCCTTAAATGCTTTAGTTCCTATGATTAGTGCCATATGTTGATATTTGTTATTTTATATGCTTGTTCTCACCTTTGTAACTCCTTTCCCAATCAAGATACCCACTGTTCATTTCTACCCCTTTTTGCGACTCTGTTTGGTCTATTTGACTCCCATCGCTCCCCCTCCTTTTCATTTTTGTGGATCTTAACAACTTCAAGATGTATATCTTGTGAAGAAGGTTAAAAGGCGTCAGGAGGACGATGGCATCTTTTGTTCATGCAGCTCAACGGCTGGATCATCTGGGGTTTGTGGCAGAGATTGCCTATGTGGGTAAGGACATCTAGTATTAAGTTACTCTAATCATTTGAGACTGTGAAATACATTGTAGTGATGGAATTTTAGGGCTATACATTGATCCCCAAAATGTGAAAAATAAATTTCAAAACCACATATTGGTTCCATAAATGTGAGTTTACAGATTTAGTTTGAGCTGGCTATTTTCTTCCTTGCTGTATATACAGTTAAATTTGACTGAATGGTAGTTCTACCTTAACAGATTTTAGGACTATACAATGGTCCTCAAATGTGAAAAATAAATTCTAGAACCACATATTGGTTCCCAAATTGTGAGTTTACAAATTTAGCTTGAGCAGGCTATTTTCTTCCTTACTGTATATGCTGTTAAATTTCACTGAATGGTAGTTCTACCTTAACAGACAATCTTAATTTTTATCCTTCATAGCCATGACTTAAGAGTTAACGAACTAATGTTGTTGTGTTGGCCTTTAAGCGAAAAGGTTAAAACACATTTTTCTCTGTGGGGGTTATTTGGGCAGTGGCAAAGCCAGATTACAATGCCTCTCATTTTGTTGGCTTACACCTCGTATGTGAAGGGCCAAACACCCTTTTTATCCACTTGCATCACATAAAAGAATGGTATCACTGACTAGTCATTCCTTCTAGTTCGGATTTATTTCTGGTGCTGTTATGTAATACTGTCTGTCTGCCGGTGTAAATCAAGTGTAGTTGAGACAAGAATGTTTAGATGGATTTTTGGTAAAACATGAAAAGATAAGAGTAAGAATGAGAATAGAGTTGGATAAAGTTGCTCTTATTGAGGAGATATTGCGGAGTAATTGATAGGAATGATTTAATATGTTCAACAAAGGCTGCCACATGCACCAGTTAGGGAAAGTGATGAGGAAGATATTGAACTAAAGTGACATAGAATGAGTGATGACAAAATGATAGATACCTTTCTGGTTGTGTAAATTTTGTATTAACCTTTGATAAAATATAGCGGAAGAAAAGACTCCACGTAACGACCCCACTTAAGTATGTGATAAGGTCTAGATGAGTTGAGCAGAGCATTTTATCTTCTGTGTATTTTAAGTGAAAATCTCTCTGCATCATGGAGTCTTTTCTGGCTTTTCTGGCTTTATTTTCTGGGAAAGTTATTCTTTGTTGTGCACGTTAATATTCTTTGGATGGGATCATCATTCTTTTTGAGCTGTTAACTGATGCTTGAGTTCATATATTTTCTGCTTTGGATTGTGAAATATCTTTTCTTGATTAGCAGTTTTTTTTCGGCAGCATGCTGAGGTCGAGCTGCTCTTCTGCCTGTAATTGTGGGATCTCCTGTGTGAATAAGCCATTCCATCAACGACCTGTGAAAAAGATGAAAACAGTCGAGGTGACAGTTCTTTTTTATCATTACAGCTACAATGAAAAACATTAATCAAAAGATTCAAAACAAAAGATCCCTTCTGCAGTTGTTCTCATTTTCTTACATCATAGCTTTTGGGTCCTGTTAAACTGAAATCTTGGAATACATTATACACCATGAGCACGTGCAAGCATATCAAAACCTTAAAACTTCTTCAAGAGCTTGATATACATTAATGGACCCACTCTCTTAACACTTACCGTTTGGCTTGTTGAGCTACTGGACAAGAATGAGGAAGAGAGATGTGAGATGTTTGTTGGTTCTACCTATCTTGTACAATATGCCAAATGTGCCCTTAAGTGTTTTGGGGAATAAGTAGTTGTTGATATTTTCGTAGAGTTCTTGTTGTCGGAGGTCTACCATTATGATTTATTAATGCGCTGCTTTCATTAATGTGACGTGCATCCTCCTTTTTGCTTGACTAATTACTCGTGTGAGGTTTGTTCTTGATGGTGGAAGTTGAGAGCTTGATACACATTGTTGGGTTGGGAGTGTCACTTGATCTATGCTGTTTGTTCAGATTGATTTTCTCAAGTCATGCAATCTTATATGCTGTCAAGATCCTCTTTATAAACTCTTCACAATATAAAAGCGCGTAGGCATGCAAGATGTTTTGCTTTTAGAACCATCAAAACCATAATATAGTTTTTCTGAATCTGTGATCCTTTATAAATTCATTTTGCAATGGAGCAGAAACCTTGGTTGGGGTTTTGTAATCTGAGCTGATGGTAGTACTGCTTGGTTTAGTCCTACACTTCAAGTTCTTAGATGTTTGTTCTCATTCAGTTCTATAAGAAGCCGTAGGTCCTTTTTACCCCATAAATGTGTGCAAAACGTATATATGAATAGTGATTACCCTCACATGACATATTCTATTCATATATTTGCTTTGTTGATACTTTTGTAAGATTCTTCTCTTCTTCATTTCACGTTGTAACACCAATTTCTTAGAGATTTGCTTTTTTAAGCATTCTTTTATCTACGCTGAATTGCAACATGGGACCCTGTGCTCCTTTTGGTGCTAGCACAATTCGTCATACATGCACATCATGCAGCTGATTATTGCCATTCGTTTGTAGACATTTATATTCTTTTTTCCTTGTTGTCTTATTCATAGGTTGATTTTTGTGCACTGCACTTGTGCTATGTCTGGTGGCATGGGATTGCAATTAATAAAAAATCAATTTGAACATTCCTTACTGCAATTCCGTGTTTCCATATACCTTTTTTTTTAAAGCCTTGTGACTATGTTCAATATCCGTAGATTGTTACTCATTCAGTTGATCTGCAAAAATTTGTAGTTGACTAGACTTCTTTTTTTTAGACTGAGAAATGTGGACTTGGAGTTGTGGCTGAGGAAGATATTAATCAAGGAGAGTTTGTGATAGAATATGTTGGAGAAGGTGAAAAATTATCAGTTTTGCATGTTTATTTTATTACTTGATGTCTTCAACATAAAAATATAAATCGAATGCACTATGTTACTCATTGTTGCAGTGATTGATGACAAAACATGTGAGGAAAGGCTTTGGAAAATGAAACACCGTGGAGAGACAAATTTTTACTTATGTGAAATTAATAGAGACATGGTGATTGATGCAACTTACAAGGGAAACAAATCCAGATACATAAATCACAGTTGCTGTCCCAACACTGAGATGCAGAAATGGTCGAACTGATCCTTATTTTCTGCATTTTAATCTCATTTTTCTGTTAGCATAGTTCTCACCCAACTTTTCCTTTCAGGATGATTGATGGTGAAACAAGAATAGGTATATTTGCGACTCGTGATATTGTAAAGGGCGAACATCTCACCTATGATTATCAGTACGGGTTATTACTTGACCTTTTGAAGCATATGGTAACTACTAGTTGTTTTTCTTCCAAGGATCATGATCTCCATGTCAATCTAACAAGTATCTCGCAGGTTTGTTCAATTTGGTGCAGATCAAGATTGCTTCTGTGGTGCTATAGGCTGCAGGAAAAAGCTAGGAGTTAAGCCTAATAAATTGAAAATGCCTTCTTCAGATGCTGCATTGAAAATGGTAGCATGTCAAATGGCTGCCAATTCTCCGAAAGTGAAAGCAGCTCTATCCTCCCTCAAAAAAGGGATTACAGCCTCAAATAATTCTGAACAAGTAGGAAAACGTGTAAGTTTTGCTTGAGCATCAAGATTGAAGGCACAAAGTTCCACCTTTTTTACATACTTTGTATTTATCGTATGGTTCTGAATCTTCTGATACTTCTCATTCCTGAATTGAATGGAGAAGTTAGCTTAGAGATACACGTGGACTGGATTGAAGGTGCCAAAACCTAAATTGACCTCTTTCGTGGTCTGGCTGGGATTGACTTTGGAATGTGGTGTTGTTATAGTTGATTGATTGGGCCTTGCAAAGTGTTGTTTCATGGAAGATTGGGCTGGAATTTCTGGTTCCATTCTAGAAGAGGCAATGGTGAGATGAATAGGAAAGGACCTACAAGGACTGTGTGAAGGAGTTGAAGTAGGAATAGAACTTTTGCATTTGAAAGTTTAGGTGACAGCTTGAAGTTATTAGCCATTGAAAACATGGTCAGCAAGGTTCATAACAGTGCTACTAAGGCATCGGATGTCATGGCATTTGCTAAAAAAAAACCTAAACCTAAAAGAAAAAGGGAAAGGAAAATAATGGAAGCTGGAAGCCCTAAAATAAGTTTTAGAGAGTTTGATACAGTGACAAGCTTTTTTGCTTGCAAGGTGAGTCTAGAGACACATTTCTATCTTTTTTTCTTGAAGAGGATGGACAAGTGTGAGAGAGTTGTTGATGTTATGTAGGAGAGTACACCATATTACGTTCTCTCCTGCTCAATACCAATATGCATTTATTCTTTTCTTCTTTACACATTCAATGAAAGATGTACGTGTACTTATGGCACTTTCTGAAGATTTTATAAATGGGCACTAAGTTATTGAATTATCGATTTTTGTAGGTCCATTCAAACGGAATTCCTGCTGCAGGTGGGTTACTCAGAATCAATTTATCTTTTTTTTTTTAGTTTTGCCAAGGACTTCTCCATTAGGATTTGGAAATTTTTGTAATGTTGGTTATTGTACTTACCTTTTCAGGAGGTTTAGGTCGTAAATCTGTTTCAAGAAGAAAACCCTGTAATTGCATTGGTTCAGTAATAAGAATAATTCGCTCTTTGGATAAGAGGTATATCTGAATTTAAGTGCATTAAATATCATTTATTGGTCATATTAAATTTTTTGAAGCATTTCAATTGAATTTAAGTGCATGAGTTGTTAACTGCTCTCTCGGTGATTTGAGTTTAATCTATAATTCATAGTTTAGGTGTTCCTATTGTGTCTCATTTCTATAGGATCATGAGTTTACAATATATGCTGAATATTCTGTTGCGTTTGCTTCATATTTGTCAGGTCTTTTGGGATAATAAAACGATATGATAAGGCAACAAGAAGACATTTGGTGAGGCAGCAATGTTTGTTCTGATGCAATAAATATTTTTGGTTTGACAAAAAAAAAAAAGAAAAATTGTTTGATTTACTCGTCTTTTTCCTTCGCCAGATCATGTTTGAAGATGGCAGTTCGGAGTTTCTAGACTTGTCAAAAGAAGAATGGGAATTTTGCAACCATTAATCTAACTTGTAAGTGACTTTCCCAAACATTGATTATAATCTAGTTTTATGAGCACTTCCATTCGTGTGGACGAACTGAAAAATATAACTGAAGGGGAAGAAAAATAAGGACTTCAGCTTCAATCTCAAATGTGCCCACCAAAGAAGAAAATTGTCATGATGCGTGATAAAAGACATTATTTATTACTCTGTACATCATTCATGTAGGGCCTGTTTGGCTCTTGCTTTTGCATATACTTCTTGTAGAAGAGCTTCCCGAGGAAGGTACTTTAGGTCTACTTCCTCTAAAAACTCTTCTAACCAGAGAGTTTTATCCAAACATGTTAAAAAAAAGCTCGTAGTCTCAAAAGCAACATTTGGTTTTTCAAAACCCCTGCCAAACGAGCTCTTAGCCATACAAGAAGTTGGAGAAGACATGTTAGTGACCTTGATCTATTTGTTTTGGCAGGTATTAGAAATAAGAATCAATGTAAAAGAATTATGCCCCTGTTCCATTAGTCCAACACATTACACACAGACTTGTACTGCTTCAGCGCAATCGGCAGGTTGTACCATTTCCTGATCTCAATTCTTTCAGACAATAAGTTCTTTTATATGTTTCTCTCACGAATAATATTACAAGCAATGCAAATGTAATTTTAGCTTAGAATCTGAATGATTAGAAGTTGTAGAATCAGAAATAGTGTTGTTAACAGCATTTCACTCGATAAAATGCATTTACTTTTGAACTGCCGTTTTTCCTTGTCTCCAACTAGACATTTGAACCATGATTGCTACTTTGCTAGTCTTGTTATGTTCTTGGAATTGCTTGAGATCAATGACGAAAAATAATAAGATCTGAATTTGAAAGAAGATAAAGCGATGTTATATTAAAAATGTTTGGCTTCAAAAGAGATTACGACGATCAAAAATCTAATCCTGTCGAGCTAGATCTCTTTAAAACCATTAATACAATAGAGTGGTCTTCTGATAAGATTTTACCTAAGAGTTTGGTAATAAACGTCCATTATACATCTTGTCCAGCAACTGACGTGCATCTGGCCGCCTAAGAAGACCTTTGTTGTTCGGCAAACCAGTCCCCAGGCACACGGGACACACTAGTTTCCCTCGACCTGCACCAAAACCCACTTGTCACATCTTTGAATCGCTACAGATTCAAACCATCGATAAATATTTAGGAGCTCGAAAGTAACAAGAGAAGTTCTTTATTTGGCAAATTTTGTGTGGGTTAAATATTCAAAATGCAGTTGAAATGAACATTGTATTGTTGTCCTTTCTGGATTATGCTGTTAATGTTCCATATGCATAATTTCCTGTCAGTATTATTTCTGTCATCTTCCATGCCAAATTTCAGACGGTAATAGTGAAACAGCATAATGAGCATCTATGAAGAATCCAAAGTGAAGAACCAAACTTCATAATAATGAATCTATGAGTTGTGAAAAGTAACAAACCGTAACAATTTGGACATTCTGTAAACTCGTAAACATCTTTGGCCCTTTTTCTGTTCAAAGCTTTCCATTTTCCCGTACCACCGCACATATCACCTAAATAAAGAGCAAATAAACATCTCGTCGATCAGTCTTGGTTATTGAAAAGAAATGTAAAACTAGATACAACTGAATGTCTGGAAGAATTCAAACATCAACTCGTGGGCTCAATATTCAAGTGTTTTGAGGGAAAAAAAATTGTTCACAATAAGTGTTCTTGGGCAAAGACACAGGAGAGAACAGATTTTGAACACATTAACAAAAATGATCATCCCACAGATTATCAGGTTTCCTATCACTTATTTGACTGTCCTATTTTTCTTTTCTTTTATTACAAATTCATCTGTACAAAACAATTTATGGTGCTGAAAAAGGTGTTTTACTCATTATTTGCAATGTAGGAGTGAATAGAGTGATAGGGCAACCATGATAAGCAGTGGACATAAAGTAAGCATTCATGCTTACAGATAATAGCACCACTACCCCCGCAATTTCGACATACAGCTCTCTCTTTGCTGTCCAAGGCGCTTGCATTTTGTCCAGAATTAGAAACACCAGGAGCTACTATCAAAGCTACTGTAGAACATAAACAAGTCAGACACTGGCGGCGAGATGTTGCCTTTTGAGATCCCTGTTTCAACAGAAGAAGAGTTTACTTGAAACAACAGGAGATTCAAGAGACTTAATAATGATGTAACTCATGATACATGATTGACTGCTCTGCCATCCATCCATTAAAGACCGTTTAAGTTCATGATCAAAAGAAAAGGACAATTTTGTATCAGAAACACTGCTATTCAATTAAGGTAGAAGGTGCCACTACTAGTTTTTAGTGTCAGGACCCAACATACACTCTGGGCTTCAGTACACTTGATAGTAATCAATAGGGATGGAAAAAAAACTCGTTCAAATTCGAGGTCGGGATTACTCGCTTAATTGGATAAACGGGGCTGGGGTGGGGGTCGTTGCCCCGTAGTGGGTAAGGGGTAGGTACGGGAAACATGGTCCCTGTCCCGCTGTTCGTTCCGTTTAAAATTAATTTCAAATTTAGTTTTTTTATCAAACAAAAAAAAGATTTATCATCATTTTTAAAGACAACATGAGTTGTTCTTAACAAATTGAAAAAAAAAAAAAAGTAATAATATTCTCTAGACTCTAATTGAAGACATTAAAACAATTTTAAAAAATGAGGCAATAAATGGGGTAGGGGACTTGTCCCAATCCCGCCTCGCTTTAACATGGGGGCGGGACAATGTGACAAAAATACCCAATGGGGAGAGGAACGAGTATAGCCACATGTCCCATACCTGTCCCGTTGCAATCCCTCGTAATTAAGCCCAAATGAAATATGATGGAGTTGGCATAATCTATAATGATGTTTATATGATGGCTTAAAATAACAACTAATAGCAAGCATCAAAATCAAACAAGTTTTCAAGAGGCTTTACACTAGGTTTTAACAACTACAAATCTCAAAGCTGCTACTAATAGGATATCTTTCTGGTTAGAAGTGCATTGTCTTCAAATGAGATCCGAATCCACCACAATCTCTCTTTTTTAATATAATGGGGATGCCATTAAAAGCAAAAATACCAATATGGAATCTTTATTACACACTGCACACTCGTCCTTTAAAATCAGACCAAATCTATCCATTTACCTTTACAAATCAGGATAGATTGATTGCTTAAAAGGAATAAGACAAAAGTGAAACAATTTTTCATCTTCCAAACTGGACTCTCCCTGCCCTCAAAGGCTCGGAGATCGCAACTCCCCAAACAGCACATGAATAGGGTCCCACATCCTTGAAATCCTCGACTTCCACACCCAAGAGAAGTGTGATCCAACTAATCCCAAACAAACATAAGAAAGATCCCAGATATCAGCAGCCACTCTACAAAGACTATCCAATGATTAGATCTTTTCTGTCCTACTTACATAGGCAGCACCAGCTCACACACTTTTTCACTTTATATGTTTATTAGGAATCAATCCTATCAAGTGAGGAAAACTATTGTACAGGTAGGCCTAGAAGTCCAGGTCTATTCCCACTGATCAGCCAATTTATGGAGTACATTATCCAAATAAAACAAAAGGATGATGTCAAATTGGCTCCTTAGCAAGTTAGGCAGAAGCTTGGTGAGCAATCAGCCGCCAAGAGATCCAATATCCACAAGGGTAGAAGCTCACAAACTACACAAAGGTCAGTTACACTGTTACATATATATGGTACTAGGGACTTGCATTATGAGGACCATAACTGATTTAATTAATTTAACAAGCTTGAAATACAGAAAGCTTGAAGGTCAACCGGATAGCAGAATTCCTATCATTACTGTAAGGCTTCACTCAAGTTACTTGTTAAATAAATCTAAATTTCAGCTATTGAAAGACTTGGTTATTGGGCGTGAAGCTTAACTTAGTGATGCAACATGGAAAGTGTATTCAAGGCGTAAAAGATATCAAGTCAATTAGGATCTTATACTATTCTACTCCAACTTTTACCCTATAAACATCTCATTACTAATATATGAAGTCTTACTTAGTAACTACAGAACAATAAGCCATAAAACAGAAAGGAGCATTCCAGTAGATCAAGCTTTACTGCGTAAAACCCTTAGCGGCCCAATAACCCCGGGGGTAACTATAAAACGTACTCATGCCCTGTCAGCCAATTGGTAAATTACTTCGAGAACTCCAAATTTAATTAGAATCTTATTCCAGACTTGGTATCAAATAATTACATAAATATTGTAAAACAAAACCTTTCTGTTGATAGGTTCTAATGAGTAATCAGAAACACCAGGTGAGCCACTCTCATCCTCCAAGCTGGACTTCACTCGAACACCAATTGGCTTCACATTGGCTGCTACCAATTGAGAAAATAAAAACAAAAAACATTCATTTTCAACATCAGTTAACAGAATCAATCCAACTCCACCGCACGAACTTCAAACACATACTCTTGGAACAAAGATGAAATTGAAAATTTTATACATAGTAAAGAAAATGAACAAGATGATAATCTAATTTCTTGAATTTTCCTCCAGAACCATAAACAGCATTGTCTCTGATTCTGCATACACAGTAAATGAGCATATTCACGTGGAGAAATAAGTGTGGTAAAATTCAAGAAAGAACCATGCCCTTTTGGCCTTTCATATCTTATCTGAAACTTTATAGTTTATAGAATCAATAAAACGAATGTGCAAGTCCACAATACGTTAAAATGAATAGGGATAATATCAGGATATGCAAGCACCAAATTCAATCTTTATTTCATGAACAAGAACAACCAAAGATAAGAATTTGGGTGTGCCCATAGAAAAATAGCAGAAACTTACTGTTGTTTGATAAAGAATTGGGTCGTTGTAAAGGAAATCTAGAAAGAGCTGAGGAGAGATGAGAAGCCATCTCTCTCGATATCTATCTCTATCTTCTTTGCTTGCTATTCGAAAGATATTCTCAGTGAGGTTTTTTCTCTAAGTAAATCAGTTTTGTTAAAATGGCAGATTATCAATGCCAATTTTGTCTTTAATTATAAAGAATTTAATAATTTTATTATCAGATTATAAGCACAGCCATTATTTTGTGAAAATGAAGATTTGAATAATGATTGTTTGAAAAATGTCTGATTCAGAAGAATTGAAAAATTTTAAGTTTACATGTAAAATATTTTACTGGGTAAAATAATGATTGTCAACCAGAGCTAAATAAAATATCACAATTTGGTTTTTCTTATTTTTATTAATAGGAGTCAAATGAAATTACTTGTCATGAAAAAAAAAAAAATCTAAAAATAAAGCATAGGTAATATTCACATATATTATGAAATTAATTGCAATAACTTTGAATTAGAAATTACAAACTTTGCCTCGCCTAGGGTTCGAGGTGGGGACAGGTGCAGAGGTCGCACTACCCTGTCTCGTTTAGTATTACTTAACTAAAAAATTTCAAACTTCAAAATAAGTAAATAAAAATTTATAAAGTATTAAACATGATATACGATTATTATGACCATGTTTGCTTCAGAGTAACACTGAATTTTAATCTAAGTCAAAATCAAATAATCAATATTAACCACATTTTTCATGGCTTCACAACTTTTCAATTATATATTTCAAAAACTTCTATTACAATATACTAAAAATATAATTTTAATCCCCACCAAACACTCACTATGTCTCGAACCCATCTATCCCGTATTAAGTGGGACAAAGATTTCCCTACACGTCGAGTAACTGAATGATTATTTCTGAACTTGCTCCATTGTCATTCCTATCTCAAGACTCGAAAAATATTGATGCAAGAGTCAAGACTTATTGTAGTTTAGATAACTTCTATGATTCTATTTCTTTCTAAATTAGTTATCTTGAATTTCTTGCATATTCGCTTATAATTCAAAAGAGAGATTTGACAATTTAAACAAATAAGATGAATTAGCTAGATGCCAATTTGGACACATAACATAATTATTGAAAAAAATTTGACATGTGTAGTGCTATTTATCATTATAATGATATAATATCGGTGATATGACGTGTGTGAAATAATGTGAAAAGACAGTTCAATTTTCTTGAGAAAAATGGGGATTGAACTATCATATCTCATTATTCCACCCAAATTACCACATCACCAATGTTTTATCATTATAATGATAAATATCGTTATTTTCTTGAGATTCACATGGAAAATTATATGAAATCAGTACAGTTGTTGCTGTTGGGCTGCAGTCGGGTTGTCTAGGCCCTTATCGCGACCCGGCCCATTTCTACACCAGCAAGGCTGCAAGGATCGCCATAAACGCCTTGCAGAAGTTGGATGCAAATTTGGAAATTATGATAATTTCCCGTCAGATACAAACTCTCTTCCAACGGTCAAAAACAGCCATTGAAATCCTCCACCTCCATTCCTTGCTCCTCAAAACCTCCCTCGACCACCACGAATACTTCTTCTCTCAACTCATACTTTCTGCCGCTTCAATCTCGCTCCATGATGCGCGAAAAATCTTTGATTATTCACCCATTTATCCGCCTCCGCTCTTTGCGTGGAATACAATTATCAAAGAATACTCCAACAACTCGTCAACCCCAATTGAGTCCATCAAACTCTTTGTAAAATTACTTCGAACAGTTGGTGGGTTCAAACCCGACAAGTTTACCTATCCATTTGTGATCAAGGCTTGTGGGCGTTGTTCCATGCTTGAGGTTGGTGGATCCGTGCATTCTATGGCTTTGAAGGCGGGTTTTAATTTGGATCCACATGTGAATAATACGCTATTGAGAGTCTATGGTGCGTGTGGCGTAATTGATTTTGCACGAAGAGTGTTTGATGAAATGGCTGACAGAGATGTAGTGTCTTGGAGCTCCATGATTGCCGGTTATGTTGATTGGTATGAACATTTTAATATGTCTTCTCTTTTTAAATTGATTGTGTTTCCTTTTCTCCCTTACACGTGAACTTTATGAATTATTTCGGAGGATGTTGATCTGGATCCAATTGGAAGTACTGAAATCCTGCAATTAATTCTCGAGTCCTTTCTTACTATGGACAACTTTGATGTCCACCCTTCAAAAAAGGTCAAAAAAAAAAAAAAAAGGAAGAGAAGAGAGAACAATGGTTTGAGAATAATGCATTTGAGTGCAGCCAGGCAGAAGTATTTGAGTGCTCTGTCTTCGCATAATGATAGTCCAAACAATATGCCATTTGAATGGAATGAGGAAGGATGGATATGGGTGGAATGGAGAGTACACTGTTAATAAATATCTTCTCAAGAGTAGCTCAATTAGATTTATAATATTTGTTGTTTTGAATCTTTTTCAAACAAGTACTATTTAGCGAAAAAAGTTAGAAGTAATAATTGTGTAACATTTGTTCGAGATATTCCCCACGAGTCTTGCCTTGGCAGAGTCGATATAACTTGAACTGAAGCCATCATTATTTTTATGTATGTGTGGCATAAGTAACACATAGTAGTGTATTTTTTTGAAAGTATCAGCTGAACAACAACTACCATGTATGTCATGCAATAGAATTTCTTTTGTGCAGGTCCAAATGTCACTCAAATTTACTACTTGTACAAACATATAGCAAGCATGTCTTTAGAAGAATATATTTTTGGGGCCGGCCTTTATTTTGAAGTCTTCCCATAGTTGGTATCAAATTAGAAAGTAAAGAATGTAATTGCATTTTTCATATTTCTTCGGATTATTGAGCCTGTTTCCTGGCATTTCCTTTTCTTTTTTGTTTTAGGCGTGATGTACAATTTTTTCATTTTGTTTTCTTGTGACGCATTATGTTGATATTTGTCTCACTCCGTTGAGCTTTAATGCTTATATAGTGAACATCCTTTGGGTGCTTTAATGGTGTTTCGAGAGATGAAGATGGTAAATGAAAAGCCAAACTTGGTTACTTTGGTTAGTTTGATTGCTGCCTGTACCAACCTCCTCAATATCAGACATGGAAAGTCTATCCACTCGTACATACTTGTTAACGGTATCGAATTGCATGTTGCTCTGGGAACAGCCTTGCTTAATATGTATGCAAAATGTGGTCTCATAGAGGAAGCCTTCTGTATATTTAGTTCCCTGAGCGAGAAAAATCTGCAGTCGTGGACTGCCATGATTTCTGGCCTCACAGATCATGGCCATGGAGAAGAGGCTATATCTTTGTTTACCAGAATGGAAGAAACTGGTCTGAGGCCTGACGTCAAGTCATTTTCAACAATCCTGTGTGCTTGTAGTCACAATGGTCTTGTTGAAAAGGGGCAAGGGCTTTTTGAAAAAATGGTGAATGTTTACAATATCAAGCCAACTATGGAACATTATGGATGCATGGTCGACTTATATGGGCGAGCTGGGAGGATTGAAGAAGCTTACCAGATTATTATGGGTATGCCAATGGAACCAAACTCTGTTATATTAAGGATCTATCTTAGCTCTTGCAAGCAACATAGGTGCATTCTATATGGCGACGAACATTTAAAGCAACTTCTGCTCAAAATAGAGCCTGAGCTTGGAGCGAACTATGTGCTTGCTTCCAGTTTGTCTTCTCCATCTGGATATTGTGATGACGTTGATAAACTGAGAGTTTCCATGAAAGGGAAAAGCCTGGTAAAAGTTCCTGGATGCAGTTGGGTTCAACTTCCTAGTGGTTGTTCAGAGGGCAGTGGCGAATAGGTTGTAAGATAATCTAGTCCAAGTGTAAATAACACAGTTTTTGCCATCTCTGAATTCTACACAGCACAAAAGCATCTGTCGGAAGATAGAAACAGTCCACAATGCATTGGTTATTATTGGCGATGTTCTAAGGACAAGGGATTGGTTACAGTGCTACCAATGATTAAAAAAGCCTGGACGTGCTAGGTAGAGAAATGCTTGGGTTTCAATGGTTTCTTTATTTCAGATCTATATTGAAGAACATTTGTAGGAGAAAGTTACACGAAACAGCACCATATTCTATCCAAATCGCTATATATTAAATGGTCGATCCAGAGTATCAGACGGCAGAGCTGCAGCCACTGGCAAAATCCATGCTCCACGAGATCTTTGGTGGGAGAAAGACATGCCATTTTCACAGAAAAGAAGTTGAAGATGCTAATGACTAGATAAAATTTCCTTGCTAATTATGCCAGGCATACTGTCAATGCTAAGAATATCAGGAACTCGAGTTACTTAGCAGATTTTGTGGAACTACACAAACAAGTAAGTCCATATTCCACTCTATGTATGAAGTCTATTTCAACTTTGAGTGAATTTTTTAGTCTCATCGAGTCATCGCTGAGGAAGTATTGCAGAGAAGAGTATTCTTCCAATTAGAAAAACATTTGTCCCATTCAAAAATTAATTTGAACAGATGGTTTGAACTTGTAAAATTCTTCCAATAATTTGGAGCCTAATTTATAAAATGATACGATTCTCTGCCAATTACATATTATCAGGATAATTCATATACATCATTTCTTCATAGAGCTCACAATAAGAATATGTGAATAATTCATAGTCATCATCTCTTGCTTTTACCAAAGGTACATAATTCGAACCATAATCACATTGAAGTGGTGAACACTTTAGAGTTTGAAGCTAGCTAGGTTCAATATTTGGCGCAGTCTAATATCGTCGTCGCCTACTAAATGAGGGAAGCCATCTTTCATGCAAAGAAGCATGGTGAGAGATCATGAACATAAGCAACACAAGTAGAATAGCCACTCCCCATGGCCTGCCCTATGAAGCGCATCCTTCTCGGGCAATGATAGGGCAAATGGGACTTCGCGTGGATCATGGACAGACAACCAGTGCAGGATAAGCAGTAGCAGCACTGGAAACACAGGGGTAACTTAAGCTGATCCATCAAGTCTTCAATTAAGAACTCATAGTTTATGTACCAAGTTATGATCAAGAAGAGAAATAGTACAGCTAAGAAGAAGAAGTGGATTGGTAGTGACAAATATTGGAGATAATCATAGTAATAAAAGTTGTAATATCTAGCCATCTTTCTTGAATATTTGAGGTCTTTAAGAGCAAGGCATACAAAGGGGTCTTTCTATTGTATATATAGATGCTTTAAAGTTATTGCTGATGTAATGTAGAATCAACATATAACCTTTAAAGAGAGAAGCTGATTGAGCAAAGAAGACACTTTATATATGGGCATGTTCAATTCACCACTGAAAAAATTCTCTCTTCAACAAATTTTATCCAGCCATGTTTCTAACACGCCCCTCATTTCCAACCTCTCCTTTTTCAACCTCTTTTTTTTTTTGCCAGAAATAGGTGGTGGTTCGCCACTTTCATTTCCAACCTATCTTCTTTCTTGTCTCGACTTACGAGATTTTTGACAAAAATGTGTACATACTCTCATAAAATAATGTTACACGTAAATTCAATTTTTTTAACTGTACATTTTCCAGAAAAATCACTATTTCAAAACACACTTCTCTCCAAAATCTCATTTTAATGAAGCCCAAACATGGGCTTTTTTCCCTAAGTATTATAACATGTTTAGTACCTAAAATTTACAATTTTTATTTTGAAGTTTCGTAGACAAATACATTGTACATGTTTTGATAAAGTAAAGTTATTTAAACATTATCTAGGATGATTAGTAACATTTCAAATTGTGAATAAAGTGAACAATTATTATGATGGTTATTAATATGTAAACTCATGTTATTAATAAGATGTATTAGAAATTAAATGATGAACTTGAAACATATAAATGAAATTAGGTTTGGCAGGCCTATCCGGATTCATAAGAGAAGGGGAAATTACTTAAAAACTTACATTTAAAATTGATTTTCATAAATAAGGAAGATTAGTTTTAAATTCAAAAATCAGGTGCTTAATTAGTAATTATGAATTTAATTAAACATAATCTACGAACCGATTTTCATTTTTAAACCCTAATTCCTTCTCTATCTTCTCTCTTTTATCACCCACCCCTCTCAACCTTCTCCACTTTCTGACACTGTACATGATATGGTCGAAATTGGTGTTGCATATTTTGATCAAATTGATGGAATACTTATGGTTGTGGTTTTGAGTTGAAGGTGGTGCATTGGAGGTGATAGTGGTGGTGACCGGTGATGGATTGTGGTGCTGGTCTGCGGTGTGTGTAGATTTGTTTGTGGTGACCCTCTGTAACTAAGTATATCTTAATTGTGACTGTTTGTGACCAATTATGTGTTAATTGTGACTGATTGTGACATAATGACATACCGTTATAATTAAGATTGATTTGGTTACAAATAGACAAATTTGGTCACATTTAGTCATACTGAAGACAAATTTAATCACAGTTAGCCACAAATAACATTGGTTAGTGACTTGGTTGCATATAGTTACAAACTAGAAGGTCACAAACAATCACACTGAAAACAAATTTTGTCACAATTAGTTGCACTAGAGACAAATTTGCTCACAATTAGTTACATATAACACAAGTTAGTGACCTGATTACATACAGTGACAAATTAGACAGTCACAAACAGTCACATTTAAGACAAATTTGGTCACGGTTTATGACATATAACGCGGTATGTTTACAAATAATAAATCTCACTGATAATACAGTTATTTCGTGGGTGATGGAATATAATGTATGTCATCAATTAAGTGTTGAATAAATTTTATTTTAGAATTGTTTTGTGTTTCGAAATAAGCATTTGGTAAACAGAGATGATTTATTGTTGTGCTAGTATACCAAAAAAAAAAAAAATGAAAATTGATTATAATGATGTCATTTTGTATTATTATCATTAATATTAGGAAAAATGGTAGCTACGACACCAAATCTTTCATTTAGTAATAAACTTTGACTAACATCTTTCATTTGTGTCACCGTAGGTACCAAACCTTGAAAAAATCGCAGCTCGAGTCTAAATTGACTAATTCCGTTAATTTGACCTAGAAACAATCAGTTGACCCCAGAAATTAAAAATTTAGGCCTCGTTCTCTTTGCCGTTTTCAAGCCGTTTTCTGTTTTCGATTTTTCAAAACGGTGAAAACGCGTTCTCTTACTCGTTTTCGAAAACACAAAAAAAAATTCTGAAGAAAATAGAAAACAACCAAAAAGTTGTTTTCTATGTTTTCTTCACAAATGCAAACCAAATTAGAAAACACGGGAAACAGCCAGGCCAATTTCATTCTCTGGCAAAAACACTTCCTCATTTCTACCCATTCACCTTCTCCGCCTCATTTCTGAAATACCCTGCCGTTTTCAACCAAAACAATCACCACAAAATCCTAAAAATGGCGAGGCCCACAAAGATTTCGGATTTTATACCGCCTAAAAATGGAAAACAAATATGAGGAAATACTAGAAAGTGAGCAAATCACGCTCCTCACACCTTACAAAATGGGAAACTTTCAGCTGTCTCACAGGTATCCACTTTTCATTGTGGTTTTTTTTTTAACAGGGTAAATTTTCTAGAAATCGGTTGCTTTAAATGAAATCCCACTTGGGATTCTTTATTTCTGTTTACTGTATACTATTTTGTAGGAGATTTGAATATGTATATTTCTCCAACAATTCTGTTATTGTGGAAATAATTAATTCCAATTAATAATATAATATACTCTTGAATTTTGAAATAATTTGACAAGTTTGTTAGTTTTAAAATGTGATATTTATAATATAGTAGTATATGTATTATTCCATTAAGAGAATTCATTTTTCACGTGTAAAAAAAAAATCGACTGATGAAAGAATCAATTAAGTGTTGAATAAATTTTATTTTAGAATTGTTTTATGTTTCGAAATAAGCATTTTATCATTTGGTAAACAGAGATGATTTATTGTTGTGCTAGTATACAAAAAAAAATAAAATAAAAATTCATTATAATGATGTCATTTTGTATTATTATCATTTTGTATTATTATCATTAATATTAGGAAAAAAATTGTAGCCACGATACCAAATTTTTCATTTAGTAATAGACTTTGACTAACATCTTTCATTTGTGTCATCGTAGGTACCAAACCTTGAAAAAATCGCAGCTCGAGTCAAAATTGACTAATTCTGTTAATTTGACCTTAAAAACAATCAGTTGACCCCAGAAATTACGATCTTGCTACTTGTACATCACAATATACATCGGGATGTACACCCCACTCACATGGGGGTGAGACCCACTTTAATAAAAAAATATTTTACACAAGTAGGTCCCACCCCCATGTAAGGGGGGTGTTCACCCCGATGTACATCTTGTGATGTACAAGTAGCAATTTTCATTTAGAGCTTGTTTGAGAATGATTAAAATTGAAAATATAGTCGTTATTGAGTCTCACTCGTCTAATAAAAGTCAACTCCAACGGCTATATTTTCAAATTTAATCTGATTTTAATACATCCCAAACAAGCTCTTAATAATTCCTCCCAAATAAGTTAATGGTATTTTGGACATAATATATTTCTCATATTAAATCAAAAATTAAAAACAAAAACAAAAACAAAAAAAAAATCATAATCAACCCCATCTCCTTCTTCCCCAACCCCATCACTACCCAAAACTAAAACTACTCCAACCAATTGCCGGCCGCCACGCCATGCCATCGCCGACACCAACGCTGGACCACCTAAATTTATAGGTTAGGTGACCTCTACCAAATCTTCATCTCCAATCCACCTAATGGTCGCCTTTTTCTACCGAAACGCTAGTGGTGGCTCGAAATTGGAAGTTCATTTTCTGATGAAATTGACCGGCAGCATTGACATCGTAGGAGCTTTAGATGATTCAGAATTCAATGATGGTGGTGGTGCCAACTGGTGGATCCCGCTTGAAGTGGCCAAATTGTGGATATTGGAATTTGCACCTATCGCAAGTTTGGTGCTCAAATTCGATAGAGTTTCTTCAACAATTGGATCAATTGGCTCCCTGTCCATTGTCGATTGGCCTTGAATTAGATTTTGGCGGGTCGAATTCGGTGGATTAAGATTGTGAGACCCTTCAATTGAAATAGAGAAGCAGCTGTGCATTGTTTTGGCCTGTGCTCAATTCCTAAGAAGCAATTGCTACGCCAAAAATTGTTCATGACGCTGGTCGCCGTATGTAGGAAGTAAATGGATGGTGGTTGGCAACCATCAAATTGACCGGAGGTGGTGCAATTTGGAAGTAGGCCTTGTGCAACCTTTGATGAATTTTCATTAATTACTTCCTCAATTGGTAATGTTTGCGTGGATGGTTTGTTGGAGTGTGTTGAGGGGGTTAAATCGCCGGTATGAAGGGCAATTTCAGGTGGCTTAGGCGGCGGGTTGAGGGGGGTTTGAAGGTATTGGGGAAGGAGGAGATAGGGGTGGGTTGTGATTTTGTTATTTGTTTTTTTAATTTTTGATATAATATTAGAATTATATTATGTCCAAAATATCCTTAGTTTATTTGGAAGGAATTATTAAAATTTTAATTTCTGACAACTGACAGTTTCTAAGGTCAAACTATTGGCATCCGTCAATTTGAAATTGAGTTGCCATTTTTTTAAAGATTTGGTACCTACGGTGGCACAAATAAAAGGTTTGGGCAAAATGTGTTGTTAAATGAAAGGTTTTGTATCGTGGCTGCAATTTTCTCTTAATATTATTATATAATTTATTTTACTTTTATAACAACGTGTAATATTGCCAAATATTTTCTAAGACAATGTATTTATTCATTTAATTATTTTAAAATAAAAATAAAATATTAATTAAATATTAAATTACAAAATAAAAACATATAATAAAATTAAATTACCTTTAACGTTTGGGACTCTATTGGTTTTATCAATTTGCTTTGGATAGAAAAGGAATTAATAGCAGTATGTAGAAAACTTTTCTTTTGTATCTTCTCAAAATTTACGGTAAGATATCAAAGATTCTATAATCTATTCGTGAAGGCTGCACTAGTTCTTATTTTTTATTTATTCAATTTTTGTTACTAGTTCATAAAATATTAATTTTAGTTTACTCTCGTTTTCTGATTTTATTTTTTGGAACTTATTAATTTATTAATATAATTAATATTTTTAAGACTATTGTAGTACAAGATACCATATAGAATTAATCATGACAATTGATAAATTTTATACATATATAAACTCTCCAAAGACTTTACCAGCCATAAGTAACTTAGAAAAGAAGGAAAAGAAGGCGCAAGGCACCTTGTTTTCAATAATTCCCATGAAGATTATTGAAATATAGGCCAAATATTCTACTTGTCCAAGAAACTATCAATCCAAATTTGTTCATAGCAATATTCTTGTAGTGGGAGCAAGGTCATCACTTTTCCGCGCATCGCTCACTCAAGATAATATAAGTTGGGTAGTGTGACACAATTTATATTTTGATTATGAATGCTATTGTTCACAATCAATGTATAAAGATAGACACTTTGTACTAGAAGATTGTAGTGTCGATTATTTTATCGTTCGATTGTACTATTTGTTCTTATTGTTAAAATACTTTAATGGTGACAGTAGTACATATTATTTTAGAGGACAAATCAATTGCACACGTCATCTCATAGCTAAGTTAATACATAAGGGTCTTCGGTCAACTCATTACTATCTGACTTCTTCCTGAAGCCAAAAGCTCCAAATTTCAGACTTCCAATCCCTCAAGAAACTCTCTAGACCTTCAAAATTTCTTCTTCAATATATAGAACCCCTTTTCTCATATCCCCTTATATCTCACATCCATTTTTTTTTCTCTCTCTCTCCTCAACATTCTCTTGACACTAAATATGGGAAGTCTTGTGGGGCACGTGGCACCTGGATTTGGCTTCTTTATCATTGGGTTATGGCACTTGCTTAACAACATCAAGAACCATGCCATTAGCCCAACATCCTTCACATCTTTGATATGGTTCCCAACTTCAAAAATAAGATATCTAGAGCTTTTCTTGATCATGGGAGGCTGCACCATGTCCATAGCCATGGAGCTCTTTATCGGCCCGGACCGCCACCAACCGCTCGACCCCGACGGAACCATCCCTTCCAATCATCTCCATAACTTTGAACATTCAAATATTTCCATGGCCCTTTTCATGTATGCAGCGTTCTCAATTCTACTAGATAAACTTACTCCTCCAGCACAGTATGGACTCACCTCTATGCTTGGTGCCATAGCTTTTGGCCAGGAGTTACTACTTTTCCACTTCCACTCTACTGATCATATGGGGATTGAAGGCCAATACCATTGGCTTCTTCAAATTGTAATTTTCACCTCTCTTGCAACCACTCTTTTGGGCATAAAGTACCCTAAAAGTTTCTTGAATAGCTTTGCAAGGTCTATTAGCATTATGTTCCAAGGTGTTTGGCTTATGGTCATGGGGTTCATGCTTTGGACACCTGAGTTCATACCCAAAGGTTGTTTCTTGAACTTGGAAAATGGTCACCAAGTAGCCCGGTGCCACGGGGATGAGGCCCTACAACGAGCTAAATCTTTAGTCAACATTGAGTTCAGTTGGTACGTCATGGGTGTAACAATTTTTTCAGTTTCACTTTATTTAATCATGATCAAATTGTATCAAGACAAAGTTGAATACCAATCAATAACGAAATTGGAAGAACAAGAAGAGGAAGACGAGGATGACGTCGAGGCGAAAGGCAAATTCGACCAGCCCAAGAGTAGTTTTCTGCCAATGGGAAAATCATTTGCCCCTTTGGACATGGAAAGGTAGAAGATAGTTAAAAAGGGATGGTAATTGTGTGAAAATATTGGTTTGGTGGAATTCAGTTTGTTTTATTAAGACAAGAATAACGTTGGCTTAGGGAAGCCAATGTCATGTCCCGTAGGAAAAATAGAATTTAAAGAAAAAAGTAAAGTGATTATTTATTTGGTTTTAACCTTTTGTGCATGTATGTATGCAGAAAAGTCATTGATTAAGGTTTTTTTTTTTTTTTTCACTTAATCCTTGTAATTCTTTTTCTTGAAAACTACATAATTGTGAAGTTGTATTTATTTGATTTCATTATTGGTTATCTTTGAAACTTAATTTTTTAGCTAAGTTTTGGGACCATATATTTTTGTTTATTTGCAATAATTGCTACCAAAACAATTGGTATCTAGCAAACATTAATTCGGAGGAAACTATAAAGTACCCAACGCTCGATATATATATATATATAATATATCTTCTATATATTAAAAGTGGTTATGTAACGGAATTTCTTGTTTTTAACGGAAAAACTAACGGAATTTGTTGTTTTAACGGACTATGTAACGGAATTTCTTGTTATAAACAGGCAGCTACAC